CCTGCAGCGGCGACTCCGGGCTCCAGCGCTCCTGGGGGAAGTAGCCGGGGGCTCCGGGCGGGCCCCCCGGGGGCGGCAGCGCCAGCAGCAGCAGCAGCAGCAGCACCGGGCGCGGCCGCCAGCCCCGCCTGCACGCGCGTGGGGCCGCCGCCATCGCGCCACGCGTCGCCTTTAAGCCGTTTTTTCTGCCGGCGGACGCGGACCGCGCCTTGAAGAGGCCAGTGGGGGGCCCCGCCCTGCCGCGCGCCTTAAAGGGGAGGAGCGCCTGGAGTGAATCAGCCGTCTGGGCCCGTTTCCCAGGCCCCGCCCTCAGGACGGCCTTAAAGGCACAGAGAGCCCGGAGCCTTCCAATCGGACGTGACTCTGGTGCCTTCAAGGTGTCGGAGCTCAGAACAAGCCCTGCCTCCCGACACCTGCCCCCGCCTGATGTGCCTCCAGGCGGAACTGGCTAGTTAGGACCAGGTTTCACGGGGACGTCGTCTAGGGCTGTTGGGTGTGAAGCGCGCGTGGTCCCTGGCGTCCTGCAGACCTGGCTTCAAATTCAGCCCCACCGTGGGCTCCCAGTGTGAGCCTCAGTTTGTCCATCTGTACTATAGGGTCTTCCCGACGCCTCAAGGCTGGCGGCTGCTGGAGCCAGATACTTGAAAATGCTGAGCACGCGATCTGGGGGCAGGGTGGGAGTTTCCAGGGAAATGCTATCAGGGAATTGTTTCCCAGGACTCTTATCAATGTACTTTACGATTGCTTGTTTCTGGGCCATTCTTAAAAACTAAGTTTTAAGAAAGATGCTCAGGTGTACATTTATTAGTATGGTCGGTAGGAGGAGATTCAGTATTGTTAAGTGACATTCGGGGCACTGTAGTGTGTCCTTGTGCTCAGGGGACTGTAGGGCTTGAATTTAAGTAAGACAGGGCGGTGGGCTTGACCCAAAAAGCCTCACGGCTCCCGGCGCGCTCCCGGCGCGCGGCTAACCGAGTCACGTGATATTTGCCCTTCCTCCTCCCCATGCCCTTCTCCTTGTCCATCCCCTTCTTCCAAATTCATTTCTCTCCTTTCTTCTGTTCTCCAGTTTTTTCTACAATAATCATTTGTGCAAGTTCAGTTTTTAGCTGAATGTTTTGGAAGCGCAACCAAAAATTTACTGGTTACATGATTGACTAAGGGAGTGAGGAAGGGAGTGGAGGAAGGGGGTCTGGCCACACTGGTCACTGCTGCTGAATCCGAGTAGGGGCACACTTGGGGCTCTGCTTTAGGGGTATGTTAGAGACTTTCTGTAATAAAATGGCAAAAACAATTCTGCACTCTATGAACCTGGCCAGAGCATTCATATTGAGTTAGAAAAACAGAGTGACAAGATGTATCCCATACCCTGATAAACTGAGAAAAGACTAGAAGGTTTTCGGACCAAAGACAAATAGCGATTTTCTCCAGGAGGACCGGAGGGCAAATTCTTGTTTCTCCAGTTTTGCAGGATTAACATCACATCCTGGGTTTAAAAACTACAACAACAGCTGTACAAGGCTGCAGAAGCACAAATGTTATCTCAGAAGTTGGAGCTGGAGAGTAAAGTCAGGAAAAGTGAAGAAACTCTCTTTGGGGAGGCTGAAAACGCCAGGGCGGAAAGAGGCGGAACCATCTCCACGGGGAGTCTGCATCTCCCCCTCTGAAAGCTGAACCCAGAAGGACCCTGGGGAAATCCCTCCGGAACCTGCTCCGGAAGCAGCTGTAAGGCTTGTGATACAATGAAGCTGTCAACTGCCAGGACACAGATGGCTTCTCTGGCAGGCAGAGGGAAGTCAATCAGTGCTTCACTCTCAGCTGAGAAACTAGATACCAAGTTAAGATTTGGAGCAAATAAATCCGAAAGGTCTATAGCATGCTGCGAAAGAAAGAAAGAAAGAGAGAAAGAGAGAGAGAGAGAGAGAGAGAGAGAGAGAAAGAAAGAAAGAAAGAAAGAAAAGAAAGAAAGAATAACCTGTACCGTATAGCAAAGCGTTAATATCTTCAATATACAAAGAGTTTTTAGGGATCAATAAGAAAAAGAAAATCTACTGAGGAGAAAAGTAGGCAAAGCCATGAACTGGCAATACACTTTAAAAAATAAAAAAAAAAGCACAAACAAAAATGGCAATAAGCCTATTTTTAGGTTCAATTCAATCATTAAAGAAATTCAAAATGAAACGATGAAATGTGTGCGTCCCTCCAACTGACTTTTTTTTTCTCTTATGGACATCCCTAGTGTTTGGAAAGGATACAGAGAACGTGCACAAATGCTGTTGGTGGGAGGGTAAAGAAACCCAGCGTTTCTGGAGAGGAATGAGGTAGAGATATGAGGGTTATAAAGGCCTCAGAGGGGCGCCTGGGTGGCTCAGTCGGTTAAGCGTCAGACTTCTGCTCAGGTCGTGATCTCACAGTTCATGAGTTCGAGCCCTGTGTTGCGCTCTGGGCTGACAGCTTGGAGCCTGGAACCTGCTTCAGAGTCTACGTCTCCCTCTGTCTCTGCCCCGCCCCTGCTCACACTCTGTCTCTGTCTCTCTCTCAAAAATGAATAAACATTAAAAAAAATTTTTTTTAATAATAAAAGAAAAATAAAAGCCTCGAAATGGTGTGGATGCTTTGACTTATTTGTCCGATGGGAACGAAGAGAGATGTGGTCGAGACGCCGCTGTGGATGTTCCTGGAGGAGGCCGTGAGCAGAGCGGCTGGACCTCGGCACCAGAGCCTGGTTGCCTGGGACAAGTCCCTCTCTGAGCCTCAGTTTCCTCATCTGTAAAATAGAAAGCATCATAAGGAAGACAAAATACGTCAAATGCCTGACACGTAATAAATGCTCAGTAAATGTAAGCCTAGCAAAAGAAACTGAGCAGAAATTATAAGCACCCAGAAGGTAAATGGGCCAAGGAGAGGAGCAAAGTTTCACCAAAAAGAAGCTAAAAACAGCTCATAAACACATGAAAAGATGCTCAATCTCCTCTCCAATTAGACATGCTCATTAAGATGACGACCAGACACCATTATTCACTCAGAAGATCTGAGAAACCCCGAGTCAGTGGATAGCCTGTGCAGCCGATGGGGAAATGGGCCACCTGCATACAGGTGAGGGGCACCAGGTGGGACCACCTTGGTGGAGAATGCTCTGGACACTGCTGTTGAAGTAACAAACACAAGGGGCGCCTGGGTGGCGCAGTCGGTTAAGCGTCCGACTTCAGCCAGGTCACGATCTCGCGGTCCGTGAGTTCGAGCCCCGCGTCAGGCTCTGGGCTGATGGCTCAGAGCCTGGAGCCTGTTTCCGATTCTCTGTCTCCCTCTCTCTCTGACCCTCCCCCGTTCATGCTCTGTCTCTCCCTGTCCCAAAAATAAATAAACGTTGGAAAAAAAAAAAATTTGAAGTAACAAACACAAATGCTCTAAACCCTGAGATTTCGTATTGGGGGATTTACCCGGAGACCTGCACTTGCTTGGAAAGTCTGTTCAAGGTCATTTCCTGAAGCAATAACAGCTCAAAAGACTAGAAGCAAAATAACCATCACTGGTTAGATTCCGGTTAAAAACATTAAGGGGCCCGTTCAACAAGACCTCATCCTCAATTGCACATCCCCAAATATTTTGACACCCAGGAGTCTTTCTAAGACTGTTGAATCTCCATTTACGCCAGCAAGTGTGAATATTCTTCAGTTTATCTACAGTGACCAACTATGGGATGCTAGCCCAGATCAGTGGTGTATTTGTGAGCTGCTGCTGTGTAACAAATGACCCCCCCCCAAAAGTGAGCAGCCAAAAACAACACACATGATCTCAGAGTTTCTGTGGATGAAAAATGTGGGAACTGCTTAGTTGGGTGGGCTCATAAGGCTCTCGTAACAGTAATACTCAAGGGGGTTGAGCTGTTAGCTCTTCCAGAATCCCTGCCCCTACCCCGGGTGCTGAACATCCAGATTATAGCCGTCCTGCCTCCTGGCCTGCTTCTGGTTGGATCGGTTGTTTTCTGCCCCATTTCAGGGAAGTCCCCATGACACATTTCCATCTCACAGCTGGAGCTGAGGACCCCGGCACCTCCCAGCAGTGTCAACCTCAGTCCTACATGCATTTACCGCTCCAACAAAGCGCTCGCTGTAGGATCCTGCGGTAGGAGGTCAGGCTCCCCCGGTGCTGAGCATGGCTCCCTGTACCCCTCTCCCAGAGCAGCCCTGGCTTGTGGTGAGCCCAAGGCTCCCATCGCCATGAGCTCCCCTTGCAGTGTTGGGAACCGGTAGCTACTGGGAGAGGCTCCACAGAGGCCTGGCAATATGCGATAGGACACAAATTCGTGTGCGTGTCAGAGGGTACCTCTGACTCAGACAAACACTGTGGCTCCCCACTGCCCTTGTTTACCGTGAGCTTGGCCAACCTGGCTGGGTCAGGAGATAAGGTATACGCCGTTCCATCCAGGAATCCACACTTAAGAACCATCCCCCCAACAATCCACTGGATGGCCCAAGAGCTTGTGAGATCCTCACCTGCTCCTGTCGGGTCCCATGGGGCCTCCGAGCAGCCATCCAGAGCGCAGGACATGTCGCTGACACCAAGGGCCTTTTTCAGTTCTAAAGCAAGAGACAAACCTTTGGACCCATCTGGGGATTCCATGCGGTCTCTCAGAGAGGCCACAAGAGGGCAAAGGATGGCAGGAAATGTCTCAACCAGGAACCCAAAACAAGTGGCTCAAATAACCCTCTCTCCATACCTGTGGCCATGGCAGACATTGCTAGTCGATCCCCACATCTTCACTGAGCCCCCTACCAACCCTACCTGCCAACACAACACTCCAAGCAGACATTACAAGTCAATTAAGGATGAAACACCATGAAGGACCCCTCTAGGAATAGAGACTCTCTGAGGTTACCTGTTTCTGGATTTTTTTTTTTTTTTTTTTTTTTTTTTACCAATTAGAGAATAGCCTTCTGCCATTTAAAATGCCCCTTTTCTGGGGCGCCTGGGTGGCGCAGTCGGTTAAGCGTCCGACTTCAGCCAGGTCACGATCTCGCGGTCCGTGAGTTCGAGCCCCGCGTTGGGCTCTGGGCTGATGGCTCAGAGCCTGGAGCCTGTTTCCGATTCTG